ACAACCAGGTGCATTTACTTGGTTGATTATGGTCCCTCTTTCAAGACAAAGTTAGGGATTAAACCATCTACAGTCTAAATCTCAAAGGCTAATTATGGTTCCCTTCAAATGAAAATGAAGAGTAGGGGGGAATAAACCATCTACAACCAGGTGCCTCTACTTGGTTGATTATGGTCCTCTTTCAACACAAAGTTAGGGAGTAAACCATCTATAGTCTAAATCTCAAAGGCTGATTATGGTTCCCTTCAAATGAAAGTGAAGAGCAGAGGGATGAAAATCGTCTACAATCAAATATTCAATTTGATTGACTACGGTTCYCTTTTTGTATGCAAAATTTCAAGGAGTAAGGCTGTCTAAAATCAAAATTTCATCTGATTGATTACAACTTATTATGAAGAAAGGAGTGAGAAGGAAATTTTCTTTGTATTAAAGAAAAGAGAAATGTATTTTTTTGGCTGTATATTTTCTCAATTGTATTTTCTTTTTCTTTCTTCTCATTCTTGTACACCTGATGTAAAAGAAAAGCAAATGAAAAGTTCTTTTTAAGTATCCTATTTTTCTTTTCTTTTGTTCTCTGTGTTCATTTCTCCAAGTCAGAATCAAAAGGTGTTCTTTATTTTCTTGTGGGGATGCTATTAAGGGGAACAATCCGTATGATTCCCTGAATGGGCCTTACCCAAAATAATAAAACTCAATCACTTGATTGAGTGAATTATGTTGCATGAGAATTTATTAAAATTTTCACACCAACAGAGGCGTATCGTATTGATACTTTGCTCAATAGGAAACATATTTGGAAGATCATGGGTTATTTAGCTCTTATATTGTAAAGGTGAGTTTTTGAGCCATCTTGCAATTTTATTGATCAATAATAGTGATTCATTAATTTAGTAAAAAAAGTTAAAATATAGTACATTTTAGAGTTGGGAATGCATTACCCAACTACCCTTTAAGTTTTACCAATTGCAACTTGGCCCAAAATAGTTGCAGACTATGGACCCCTTGTTTGGCCAAATAATCTGCCATTTCCCTTTGGGCCACCTTACATTTGTCAAAGAGTCTTGTTTTCAATAAATTCCTGAATCCTATTTTCTTCTCTTTCTAGCATTCTGTTATCATGGATTTATTGTTTACAACTATAGTTGGTATGCTGTTCTTGTTTTAAAAACCCAAGTCACTTGGTTGCAATAGTTCTATACCATCATTCTTTGTTTACAAGTCACTACTTTTCTCTTAATCCTTGGTTCATCTCACATCTTGGAATTGGCTTCACATTAGTTTCCCTTAACATAAAACATTTCTTTCTTTTCCTTATTATGTATTGATATATTTTTTTTGCTTCTTGTATATAGAAATACATAATGCCTCTGTTGCGGTAAAAGAGGGGCCTTCTGTAGGAAAAGCTGCTATTGGGGGTCCATTCAACCTTGTTGATCATAATGGGAAGTCTGTTACAGAGAGAGACTTCTTGGGGAAATGGACTTTGATATATTTTGGGTTCACACACTGCCCTGATATTTGCCCAGATGAGCTACAAAAGTTGGCTGTTGCAGTTGACAAAATAAGTAAGTTGCTAGTAGTTTCAATATTGCTGGAATTTGATGAAGATATAGAAATGAAATGTGCTTTTACCAAAGCTTGAACCCCATTATTGCTGTCTGAAGTTGCTGTTATAAGACAACTTTTTAATAATTATCAAACTGATCTACACTTGCTGTGTTTGTCAACATAAGCTGATTTACATTCTCTTCTTCTTTATGGATAGTATGTAGGTGCATTTTTTGGTTGAATGAATTATTGTCATGTCCAGAAATCTGGTTTCAAGAATACCAATGAGACTGATTAGTAATTTAGTATCAATCACTTGTGGAGAAGTATGGTTTGCATTATAGAGAATATGATTGTACTAGGGAAATGCTTGCAAATTTTGGTAAATATACATACAGGTGTAGAATTATGGCATAAACTCAAGTCAAGTCATGTGTGGGGTTTGCTAAAATTATGGTGTAAACACAGGCGGATTAGGGATCTAATTTACATCAAGACTTATTCAAAAGATTCGTGGATTTTGCAGAATGGAAAAATATTATGACTATAGGGTTGTTCTCTTTTATTTTATTTTATTTTTTAAGTTTTAGTTGGAAATAGGGGCTACTTTTAGACATGGTATTTATTCAGTGACAGTGAAATAATGGTAGTTGTTTCTGAACTAAAACAATCTATTTTGCTATCCATGTAGGGATACCAGCTAAAAACTAGAGTAATTGATTTATAGAACCTTTGAAGAAAGAAGGAAAGGCTGGAGAAGCTTGAGAGAACCTGTTTGGATGCTTTTCCTGTATGTATACTCTTTGTATTACTTTTTTTCTTTAATGAAGTGTTGTTTACCACAAAAAAAGAGGTCCCTGAGATAGCCATTTCTACATTGGTGTTCAATAACAAACTTTGTTGTAGTCAATCCAGATCAGTGTTACAGTGATTTAAAAGGCGCGCCTAGGCACTCAGGCGAGGTGCATTTTAGGGTAGGTGCCTCGCCCAGGTCCTAGGCGTGCACCTTGCGCCTTAGCCCAGGTGTGCGCCTTTTGAAAATTTGCTGCTTTTTCCCTTTGTTCGAGTCTGGCCGCTGGGCCGGGGGCTCCGCCCCTGAACCCCCGTGCCACGCCCCTGAGGCCAGCCCAAACAAGTCCATGTTAGGGCCTTAAATTCTTAGATTTCACACAAAAAATAATAATTTTATAGTTTAAATTGCTTTTAAGAAGATATTTTATTAAGATGAATGAATGGACAACATTACCAAATAGGGGGTTCTTGATCGCTCGCTCACCGAAGCTTCAAGAACCCCCTATTTGGTAATGTTGT